CAAACGCTCCATTCTTTCTCCCCCGGAACCGCCATGAAATGTCTATTGCACCTCACACTTCCACATCCGGGCGGGGCTGTTTCTGGGGTCTGTTAGCCTGTCTCTTCTGTCTGCCTATCTCCTTGCTAACTCTGCACTGCTTTATATCACTGTAACATTATAATACATGTTGATATCTGGTAGGAAAAGTAGCCTGATCTTGTTTATCTTCTTTAAAACTGTCTTTGGCATTACTGGCCTTTTGCTCTTTCATAACAAATTTAGTTCCAAGAAAAACATGCTGCTGGCGTGGTTTGTCTGAATACACATTCTTTGGTATTTGTTGAGACTTATATTGTGGCCTGGTGTGTGGCCGGCTTGCATAAATTGCTGTTCCTTGGGGGAAACGTACACTTACAAATCCTTAAGAATAGGGTTTGAAGTACATTTATGGATCAAGCTTAATAATTCCTGGTGTTCACATCTTCTGTATCCTGACTGAATCTATTTTGTCTGACATTTTTAGGGCTTTCTTTACATTTGCCTAACATATTTTTCCATCCCTTTACTTTCAATCTTCTGTGTCTTTTGCTTAGGTCTATTTGTTGCTTATATAGCATATAGGTGGGCTTTATTTTACATTTATTTAAATCTACACGTGAAGTTTAAGTTTATTCTACTTTATATTTATTTAGAAGATCCATGTAGTTTGACTTGTTTTTGTCATCTTAGTTTGCTGCCTTTGATTTGCTGGTTTTCCCTTTCATGCCTCTTGGATTGAATTGCTAAATGCCACTTGCTCCTCTCAACTGATAGAATCTAATTCTGTTCATTTAGTGGTTGCCCTTAAACTTTTAACATGATTTCTGACATAGCAGAGACCAAAATTAGCCTTTTTATTTCCCTCTTGAAGATAAAAGGACTTTAAATATAATCACTCCCACCATTGTCTTAGTTGAAGCTTGTATTTTTGTAATTCCCAAATGCCATTTTGGGGCATATGTGGGGTATTATTTTATACACTAAGACTTACCTGTGTGTATATCAGTTCTTCTTCATTTCACCTTGTATATCAAGTGTGTGTGTGTGTGTGTGTGTGTGTGTGTGTGTGTGTGTGTATCTCCCCACCTAAAGTACATCCTTTAGAGAATTTTTTAGTGAGGTTCTATGTGTAGTAAACTTTCTCACCCTTTGTTTCTCAGGTGTTTTTATTGCGTTCTTCTTCTTGGGTAATATTTTAGGTGGAAATACAATTCTATATTGATAGTTTCAGCATTCAGAGGTTTTTGTGCTATGGTGAGGTAATGTCTTCAGATAGATCTTCCTGTCTTCTATTCTTTCTTCAGCCTTTATTTTTATCTGTTGAGTGTTTCATGTCAGTGGTTATAGTTCTCGTTTCTAAAAATTCTGTTAACTTCCCTGGTCTTTTTTTAAATTGCCCCTTTTCTTCATCTTTTTTAAAATACTTATTTGGCATTCTCTATCTGATCTCTGTGGTGCTGTTACTTGGGAACCTGATTCTGCAGCTTGTTGTGTCTGCTGCTTCTCACTTGCGGGGACTTGGTTCTTCCTGTGTGTTTATAATAATGGATTATGGGTTCTTGTTTGACCCAGCTTTGTCTCCGAGCATTATGTGACACCATCATTAAGGATGAATCCCTGTAGGGTAGATTTGTTTTTGCTTTTGCCAGGCGCCCTTGGAATACAACTCTAGAACAGCTTAATGGCAATTTATCGTCTTGAGTGTCATGGACTGAAAGTTTGTGTCCTGCTAAAATTCACGTGTCGAAGCCCTAACCCCGATGTGATTGTTATTAGGAGTTGAGGCCTTTGGGAGGTGATTAGGTTTAGATGAAGTGCCAAGAGTGGAGCTCCCATGATGGGATTAGTGTGTTTATAAGAAGAGGAAGCGAGACCAGTGCTCGCTGCTCTCTCCCTGTACACACAAAGCGAGTACGTAGTGAGTACGTAGTGACATGGTGCGAGTCTGGACAATGGTCCTCACCGAGAAAAGAAACTGCTAGCTTCCAGAACGGAGAGAAATTAATGTCCCTTGCTTAAGCCCCTCAGTCTTTTGTCATAGCAGCCTGACTGACAAGACATGGGATTTTCCTGGATACATAGTGTCAGTTTGAATCTCAAACACCCATGAGGCCAGCCTGTGGTTATAATCATAGGGAGGAAACCTTCTTTGTTCCCTCCCCACTCTCCTGTCCCACAGTATAGGCGGAATTCAACAAGCTTCCCTCCCTTCCTTCCTTCCTTCCTCCCTTCCTTCCTCTCTCCTTCCCTCCTCCCTCCCTCCCTCTCTCCCTCCCTCCCTTTCCTTCCTTCCTTTCCTTCCTTCCTTCCCTTTCTTTCTACCTTCTGGTCTTCCTTTCTTTTTTTCTTTTGCCAGTGAGTACTTTTATCTTTTATCTTTTTACATCTTTTTAGACTTATGATATAGCCCTTCAAGAGAACCTATGAATTAGGCGATTCAGTTCTAACTGGTACTGACCCAGTGCCTGTTTTCTGTCTCAGGGCTTTACAGTTAAAACTTCAGGGCATTGGTTCCCCAGCTGGGTGTGTACTGCTGTCTGGAAATGTGTGGGTGCATTTTTGATTGCCACAGTGACTGGGAAATGCGAATGGTATTTAGTGCCCATGAGCCAGGGAGGCTAAGTATACCTGCCAGGTGTTTTGCTCCCAAAGAATTGTCCCTCTCCGAACACCAGTAGTTTTGTTACTGTGCAAAAAGGTCTGGCTGCTCGCTGCACAAAAGCCAAAACTCGAGAGGCGAGGCTGGTGGAAAGAAAAGTAGGTTGTATTCCAAGATGCCAGCATTAGGGAAGACAATGGACTCCCAGTCACAAAGACTGTCTTCATGCTCTCAAAACCCCCGAAGGTTTCATAGACACCACAGGAGGGGCAAAACGAAGGAAGGAGGAGGAGGCCAGGCAACTTCAGGAAAAGCGCTTCCTAGAGGCTGGGCTGCCCCAGGGTCCGGGGTGAACCTCATACAGATGCAAAAAAAACCTCCCAAGTTACTGGGCCAGGTGTGCACACTGGTCCGAAGCAAACAGAACCGTTGGGATGGGTGTGCAACGTAAATGCACAGCAAACAGAGTCACCAAGGTTTGGAGGGAGGGGAGGGAAGCAAAGAAAGGAAAAAAAACTTTCAAAAGTCCGAAGCCAAACCACTGTCAAGTCGAATTACATCAGAGGTTTAAATTTCAAAAAGAGAAAAGCTATAGGCTCACCGTTCCAGTTTCTCTCTCCCTTTGGGAAACACCGCTTAGGGTTTGGGGCCTCATGGGTTTCCTCAGCACTGGCATGCACTGGGACTGGCTCAGCACTCCAGCTTCCTTTATCTTTTTCATTCTGGGCTCTAGGGGTTTCTTGGAGCTCAGCTTTTGTATTAAAAGCAGAGATGGTTGTATTTTATTTAGCATTTCTAAGTGTTTTGTAGAGGTAGGGTTTATTTGCTTGCTTTTCAGGATACCCAGCCCACCACCGTGTGGTTAACAATGAAAACCCTCTCATTTGATTTCCCACTATGTTATGAGTGCCAGCTATCCCTCAGGCGCTGTTATGCAGCTGGTAAATGCAAGGTCACAGCATTTGGCTGTACTGGGTGGAGGGGGTGGTCACCATTCTGCAGACTGCAGTGTGAATGGCGCCCCCTTGTGTCCTGCAGCCTGCCTGCTCTGGTGAGTGCTGAGTGGCCCTAGTTCCTGCAACCTCAGAGATTGGTGCTGTCAGCATAAGTGAGCTGTCAGCTCCTCCACGGTGGTGACCAACTCCTCCCCTTCTTTCTGGCCCCGGCATCTCTGTCATGGCCACATATCAAGTATTCAGTCCCTGTTTTTTCCCCTTGGAGGTGGCGCTGTGACATAGTTGATGTCCACCAAGGTAACTCAGCCTCTTTCTCTGACCGCTACCATCGTGTTAGAGTGAGCGAGTAATTAAAAGAAATGCAAGAAAATCCTAGAGCCAGAGCAAAAGAGGGGCAGCAGATAGAAATGTCCACGCCACATTCATTCCAGAGAAGGGGAAGGGGACTGGAGGACGTTTCCTTGGAGCAAAGATTGCTCAGAGGTCGGCTTCCTCCAGTAGCTTCTCAGCCAACTCAGATTTGAAACACAGTGATGTCAAGCAGCTTAGGACAATAATGGTGTCGTTGGAGTGAGGCAGCCTCTTTGCAGACTGAGGTTTTCATCCAAAGAGACAGAAAGTGGCTCTTTCCTCTCATTTCTTTCCTTCCTTCCTCCGCTCCCCTTGCCTTCCCCCCTCCCCCTCCCTTCCTTCTTTCTTTCTCTCTTGCCTGGTCACAGTGAGAGTACCTTAGTCCCCAATCCAGTGCCAGACAGGTCTAATGACCGCTGTTCTATCAGGCTAGCTAGAGGTTTTTAAGTGACCTGGGGCCCTGCTACTCTAGGTATGGTCCGTGCACTTGCAGTATTGATGAGTATCATCTTGGAGCTTATAAGAAAGGCAGAACTTTAGATCCAGCCTATGTCCATTGAATCTTAATCGGCATAACATGATTCCCCCAGGGGGTTCTGATGCCCGGGGAACTTGGGAAGACCTCCAGAGGAAGGTGATTCTAACGTTCTCTTCCTTCACTTTTACATAGAATATGACGTGAATTATGGGAATATGGTGTTATGTTTATGGTTTGCGAGACTGAAAACAGACATCACAGGTGTTGTGGACTGAATGTTTGCCTACCTGGGTCTACCTCCAAATACATCACATTGGGAGGGTTAGGGCTTCAACGTATGAATTGGGGGGGACACCATAACTATTATTGTACATTATAACTAATAGAAATATACTGTACTAGAAAATAATAATAGTAGTAACAATAAAAACAACAAAACTAACACTTATTGCCCCAAGACTGTGGAGCTTGTACTAGGAGGGTGTACCAATATACGTGCACATCCTGAGCTTGACCCCACGCTCCCTTACACAGGGCTGACTTTTAGCAATGACTCTCATGCTGACCCACCTTTCCTTTGGATCTCCCCCTGCAGGGCACAGCCTCAGCAGTGAGCAGGGCAGCAGTGCCGAGACCGCCCCCGAGGAGGCTGAAGGGCCAGACCTGGAATCCTCCGATGAGACTGATCACAGCAGCAAGGTGAGAGATTTTCATTTTCACATCCTGTGTCTCAAGCCACCGGAGAGTCCCAGCTGACGCATCACCTTTGCAGCTGTATGTAGTTTGAAGGCCTCTCCACGGGATCGAGTGTTTTTACCTCGGAGGTGTCGCTAAATAAGATATGAAATCCAAATTACAGCCTCTGTAATAGACCCAGATGTGAGACTGTAGGGCAGAAATCACTCTTAATGAATCCCATTTCTTTCTTACATCTCTGTTTGTGTACGATGAAGCAGCATCCAAAATGTGTGAGATTGGGTCAGGTAGACGGTCTTATTATTCATGGTTTCTGGGATGAACTCCTTTTGCATGAGCCGTGTTCAGCTCTTGT